CCACGACTGTGCCCCAACTTAAGTTTCATTTCATTCCTCTTTCATCTCTCAAATATGTAGAGTATCTCTCAAGTATCATACATACACTTGGTGTGTATCTACCATGCTGATGCTCTTTTTGTTTCCTGCATTCTGTGATACACTGTATTAATGTCACTACAGGTCCGTACACTTGAGCAACAAGAAGCTGCAGAGAAAGAGTAACTTTGACAGATTTTCATTTGTCATTCTGCTCCAACAGGGAGACAGGAAAAACCTCTATGAATTATTTTGAACTGTTCTGTGCTAATTTTTCTCCCCAAGGTGTTCTTCGTACTGACAAGGCCACCTATAATCTTCCCTGTGGAAACTTCTATGGCCCTCAGTAGGATCACACACGTGACAAAACAGTTAGAACTAAGCCTTACTTGTCGATAAGATGTGTTGTAAATTTCCCAGGAAATCTACGGAGTGTATGTTTGAGGCCTTATCTCAAGGAATATTTAAGGAAACATGTTTGAACGTACAAGTAACATGCTTTTGCCTAAAACACTGGCTGAGCTAAAATCTTTCTTAATTATAGCCTTTAGCATGTTAATTGTTTATCATTAGGAACAAAGAGAGCTGCATTTTTCCTAATGTAATCAAAATTTAAAGACAAAATAAATGTGAGAGCCAGGTAAGAGAAATACTTCCTAAATCTCGGGGGTTTAATTTGTCTCCAATTGTTGTGACAGCTCTGGAGTTTGCAAGTGTTTTGGGCTAGGGGCATGGGGTTGAACTAAAGCAAGTACAATTCTTGCCAGCTCTGAGAGTGCTGTCTTCTCTGAATGGATCAATCCAGAAGCCTCCTGCATTAGCTGGGAAGCTGTAAGCTTCTGTCAGACATACAGGCAGGTTTTCCAACATGCTGCACATATGTACTGTGCAGATTAGTAAAAAAAAAATGTCTGAAAGAGTTTTACAGAAGGAATGTAAAGCTTGGAATAAACAGAGAATTGCAAATAATCTCAAAAAAATTGAACTTGATCTGCTTTCTTTGAAGTTAAAGTGATTAGAATGGAGCAGGCTGAGATTTATAGGCTTCACAGGCTGTGGGAGGGACTTCAAAAGCACAGAGGTGATAGATGAACATGTTTTTTCAGACATGCAGTGACAAAAATGCAACATAGTTTCAAGGATCTTACAGCAACGGAAAAAAAAAAGGAAAACAAGGAGTTCTAATTTTAGTCTCTGCCAGTCAACCATGTTGCAGTTTGCTTGCCTTGTGCTTAGGACACTCATCTCAAATGCACCATCAGCAGAGCATAAAGCTGATAAATACTGGTAAATTCTCAGTAAATGCATATGATGCAGAGACAGGAACCATCAAGGCCAGTTTTATACTTCAGTTTTGAAAACTGGTCAAACCCACCCTGTGCTCAGTTCTACACTAGGATCTGAACTGGCATTTCCCAGGACCAGCACCGCATCATTCGCTGCTTCGCCTCCTTCCCCCAAGCACACAGGTTTCCCAGAGCCACGTCTGACTGTCTCTCTGGTACCACCACACTGTGCACAGAATGCTTAAATACTGGTGGCAGTAAGATGATGTTACCTTCTTGTTTGGGGCAAACTGCTACATGAAGGATATACAAGTTCTAGGGTTACAATCTTCTCAAAGCAGGAAAATGAATCCACCTCCAATTTAATCTCACTTCTGGACACAAGGGGAGAAAACTTTGTCATTGGTGATTTTGGCCCCTCCACACAAGAAAATACTTTCAGCTACACTATTCAACATAAAAGTAATTAATAAATCTGCATTAATCACATACGTACTTTAGTGAATACCACACCTACCATCTTCTACCTTATTGCTGCACATTTCATTGTTGATCTTCACAGAAAGCAATTTTAAGAAATACTGCAATTTACATCAAAAAAATTCCATTGATTCTCAGAATGGATTTTCCACCTTCTGTGAATGGTAGCATACTCTTTGTAAGAAGAAGATGATAAAAAGTGATTTACAGACTTGATTGAATTGTACACCTGAATGAAGTTGTTCAACACGTGTAAGTTATTGTAGAACACAACCTGTGTCCTAATGTTGCAGTGATCTCCATGAGATGGTTCTGTCTACATGTAAGATTCGTTTGCACACTTTTTAAATTAGTATTGTTTCTGCATGCTTATGACACATGCTCAAGCAGCTTTAGCATTGATCAACTCTGCGTGCTCCCACAATCCAAGTAATAGAATACAGAACACTGCTTTCTGTTCTGCATAATGTTTTTATGATATTCAAATAGTTTATTGGTAACAGATAAGTTGCTACATCAACATTTACTAAAAAACCACATTTATTATGCATATACATTTAAAAAGTTACTTTTACAATATATTTTGCTTCTTTTGCTGGTCCCTAAAATTAATTTTTCCATAAGATTCTAGGGAAATTATTCCTGTAGAAGCAGAAGAGCATGCTCTTCACTACACGGGTGATGGCAGGAAAACAGAAGGCACAATTCCAGTTGTATTAAGTCACCTGAGCTGCAAGGTAGACCCTATGGTATGAGGCTGTTCACACACACATTATCCATCCACGTGTGGTGAGATCATTTACTTTCCCATGTCAGCTCCCCAGCCCTCACTCAGCCTTGGTAACACACTCCCACCTCTTTCAAGCATAGCACGTTCAGCTTCCAAGCAGCAAAGATGATCTCGAGGCTGCACATGCCAAACTAATTTATTCTGTGTATATTTACAGTTGGTTCTCTGGCAATTAAAATATGCAAAGCTCTCTTAAGAACATCAGCAAGAATGAAGTCAATAGGTCCCTACAGTAATAATTTAAAGCTTACCCTAACGGTTTACACAGCTTTAGGGCAGATTCCTAATATGCAATTCAGTATGTTGATTAAAAAAACCTACACAACAGTTACAAAATTAAAAACAACACCTTCCAGTACATTCTAAGAGGTCTTAGAGCGTTTCTAAAATAATATAAAATTATTTAACCACAATGGCAAAGGCAGTGGCCAACGAGGGCAGAAAACTGATGTGGAAACAGACGATTCCAGTTCTACCAAGTGACCTGCCTGTTTTGTTGAATAGTACCTGTGCTACTTTGCCACCCGTTTGGGGGCAGCGCGGCCCACCCAGCTCCTCCCGTGCCCTGTGCCCGCCGGGGGGGACGGGCCGTGTCCCCGCCGCCCCGGGCCCTACAGCCCCTCTCACCTACACCCCAGCGCCTCGGAGACGGGAACTGGCTCGGGCAGGGGACAGGCCAGAGCACTCGCTCCCCTGCTGAGGAGGAAACGAGCCCGACCGAGGCCCGACGCCACCACACCCCCCGCCCCGCCCCCGG